GCAAGAGCACATTCACCAGACAGATTTTCCCTTCAAATTCAGACATTTCACGGTTAAGCCTACCCAAAAATCCATCGCTACGCCCTACAAATCTAAAAATTGCAGCAGAAGGTACTTTCGACCTCCCAAAATGAGACCCCAAATACTTCCTCAGAAGGTACTTTGGAATATCATAAGGATGAGGATGTTCACTCAAAACGACCAAAAACATGCCCCAAAAATCGAGGTGAAAATCTCACAACCACAACCACAACAACACCAAGACTCCGAAGCAACTTCCCTGGCTCCCATGGCAGCTCTTCCTGTTCGCGCCTCTCCAGCCGTACGATGTCGGCGGGCAGCCGGGCGCGGACGATGGGCACGGCGGCGGAGGTCGGGGGCAGAATCATGCATTCAGCCACTGTACAGCTGCGAACCTGCGCCATGGATAGGGATGGATAGGGCTGGGATTGGGGCAGTGGCACCTGTGGGATATCCATCGGCTGTTTCGGGAAAATGGTGAAGTGATTGATCATGATTCATCGTCTAAATTGAAGGCGGGGTACCTATTACAAGATATTATAAGACAAAGCCATGGATGAGAATGAACGGAGGACCACTGGTGGTTGAGCGGTTCTGAGCCGTTTTGGCTGAATATATTTGAATTTATTAGTCAAATTTGGGGATCATCATCCTAAATATGGTTGAAAAAAATGCAGACCGCAAACAGATGATATGTTGAGATGAATCCGGCTTAAGATATCTGTGTTTTTTCCTTCTAAAGTTTCCTCATAGAATCCATGGGTATCTGGGTCATATCCCTTTAGGACGGGGTGGATCACCTAACCCGGCAAATATCCGTGGGTCAACCATCACCATCAAACAGTTTGATGAATCTACCACTCATGAGACGGGGATGATGGTATCATCATCTTGTTGTTGTTTGTGTGCGGAATATACCATGTTACATCATGTTACATCATGTTACATCTATGAATCAGAATGGTATGTGAATATATAAGTTCTATATATCTGTTATATCAAGTTATATCTTTGAATCCCAGATATACAATGTGGGATTCACCCATGAACCATCCCCAACTGGAGATGAAGAAACATCACTCGTGATGAAAAATCGCCTTAAATCGCTGAAATCCTAAGGGATTTCAGGGTTTGTCTGAATTAAAATGTACCGCCAATGTTGATGGTTTATCGGTTGATCATCCTTTTTTCTCAGGAATCTTCTTATTTTGGGGTGCAGTTTCACTAGTAAGTGGGTGATTGAACCACACTTTGTAGGGATCCAAAATATCCCAACTGTTGGGGAGCGGTTACAATGGTTATCCCCATCTATCTAACCCAATTTCATGGTTAAATAACAGTAAAACTATGGATTCTTGGATTTACCTTCTGGTAAACGTTAACAAAAAACTATGGAAAATCACCATGTTTAGGGAAATCTCACTATTTCAATGGTCATTTTCAATAGCAAAGTGTTAGTTTACAACCCAACTTCTGGAGCTTCCCATCACTGCATGGCTCCGCGCTCCGCGCTCCGCCCACCGTGGCAGAGGAGAAGGATCCAGGCTCCAACAGCCCGCGCTCGCCAAAGATGGCGGGCGCCACGACATTGGCGATGTGGACACCACTCACCTGCCACCAGGGAAACGCTACGACCAAACACGGGAAAGATCTGGGGAAAAATGCGGGAAAGGTGAGAAAAATTCGGGGAAACCAAGATGGAAAAAGCTGGTTCTTTGCGCTTCGAGGAAATCTGAGGGTATTTCGTCGAGTTTTAATTCATCAGAAGTTGGGGATATACTGAGTTGATCTGATGATCTGAGTTCTTCATCCGACACAATGACACAGCCCCCGCACGGTGTCGAGGCCAGGACTGGGTTGGATCGGGGTTGGATCTATCTCGGTGAAATCCCCCTTGGCATATCAAGTTCATCCCAAGTCATCTGTGTCTGGTCATAGTGGAAAATCCATGAACATCCCCACCCGAGGAGGCCTCCTTTACGGCCAAGCTTGGGCAAGACTCAAGCCGAAAATATGTGGTTTCAAATATCTTCGAAAAGTGAGTTCAATCATTTCTAAGGCCCCCCCTTTTTGGGGGAGAAGGTCTCTCATCATCTTTCGTGATTCTCAAATAGAAGTTGAACTTAGATGACTATTATATAGATGACTAAAAGCCCATTTAGAGTTTAGTTTTGACCCATGTCAAAGCCATTTAAAACCCCAATGTTCGTGGGACGCTTGAAGCACCTGACGTATCCAACTACCCCATCGCAGACCTCCACCTCAATCATGCCATGGAGGAGGATAGTCAGGATGCTTTCCTATAAGGCTGTCAAGAAATGGCGATGAATAGTTCAAAAAAAACGATTCATGAGTGGACATATTATATGAGATATATATATATATACATATATATATGGTATTAGATGTGTATGTGTGTATATATATATCATGTATATTACATGTATGTATCGTATTAGATACATGTATATATATACATATAATCTATATTATCCATATACACACATGGGGAAAGTCTTGTAGGAACACCCGATCCTCCGAGGATCAAACTCAAAACCCATATGTTTCCTGCCAAGAATATCCCTGGAAAAGTAAAAATCTACATACCCAGAAATCTATATACCCAGGGACGAAAAACAAAAACCGCCAAAAAAGGGGGACCAATCAACCTACAAACTCTGATTAACTATCAAGCTTGATGTGGAATTTGTTTATCAACCCAGAGTCAAAACAGTTGTGGATGTCATGACCTACACGACCAATCAACCCAGAGGGAGGCAGACAGTATGACAGTATGCCTAAATGTAGCATCGAGGATGGCAACACTTACATCAACAAAAGTGGAATAAAGCTGTTCTACAACTTCTAGCAACAAACATGTGGAAAAGTGTCAACAAATCGCTTGATTTCTCAACGGGGACCGGAGCCCACTGGAGTCCTTGCCCTCCTCTAAGATCACCTGCTTGGGTAAGAAGGGCTGTTCATGCCTCAGCTGTGAAGGAATGGTCAAAACATCGGAGCGGACCAGGGAATCACACCAAACCTAATGAAGCAATCATCCAAGGTTTAAATGAAGAAACATCCAATAAATGAACTGCAAAACTGCCACCCCCAGTTCCATCTGCGAGCCGCATGTTGTCCAGCAAAATGTTCAGGAATTGACTGCTGAAGCCACCTTCACCTAGGGTCTTCGGCAGTTCGGAGCTGGTGAGGATTGACCGGCTTAAGGGAAGATCAACGGAAAACCCTCTCGCCTTTTTTGCCTTTGAAAATGAGACGGCTTTCCTGCCAATTCCCCCTTCATCCAATCCAATCGGACAACGAAAAACATCCGAGCCTATCATAGCACAGCCATGGTTTCATCCCAAGGATTTTTCATGACATCATCTTAGATCATCAATCTTACCCAGTACCAAGAATCCAAAAAGGTGTGTGTGTGTATAATATATATATATATACATGGATGTTCATCCCCTAACAAATTGTATCTATAGTTATTGATCCATAGCCATATCCCTTAAATTCTATGAAAACCCCAATCAAAACCATGACACACTCAGCCGGTTTTCCGCCCAGTCACTGGCCCCGGCGCGCTGCAGTGCACTGGCCGTGGCTTGTCGACTCTGACTATGCGCCTCCACCATTTCTCGGACTTTTTCCTGTGGAGCATTGGAGGTTCATCCGTGTTCCCATCCAGTGAAATCTTTGGGGATTTAACCATCTAAATGGGGATTTTTCAGATTTAACCATCATTTATAGGGATATAGATTTGACCAATTTTCTAGTAGTTCGAATTGAGCTACTGTAATACAGGAGCAATGCAAAATTATGGGGAGCTACTGATAGGAGCTACGAATTGAGTTTAGTTCATCCAGTTGGAAATGGGGCAAGCCACTCGAAGCTACTGCTTGGGGGAGTTGACTTCACCAGGGTTGCTAAGCCATGGAAGGGGATTGGACCTGAAAATATACGGATGTTCGACCTGATTTGGGACCCTTGAAAAATGGAACATGTGATGATTGGTTGCATCAGAATTTGGGGTACCCTATTCTTCAGACAAACCAAGTGGGCCTTTCCAGAAGAACATGATCCAGGTGGTTGGAAGATTGACCATGGACCGGTAATTTGTTCGGGGCCTACTCAAACTGGTACTTGGCTCATCATACTTCACCAACCTGAAAAAGTGTTGGATTGATAACTAGATTTAGTTTATATCATCAATGGCTACTATTAACCATAATTGGGATGTTATTCAATGGATGGCATCAAATATTCTTATGCGAATTTTGAATGATTATAACTAAAATTAATTGCACTTGGGCATGTTCAACTACAATTTAAAAATATCGTCAATTACACTATCATTCAATTGGACGTCAGTGGGGATATCATCATTGGGATATCCCAATCTTACTCTTCAACGATCATTGGGATCATCTTTTCATCACCCTCCCGGAGTTCCAAGGCTCCCACAGCGTTCACAGCCCGCGCCTTATCCCCCGGGTACTGCGACAGCGCTTCCAGCAAGGCCGGCCGCGTCAGCGCGCGCAGGTCGCAGACGCAGTCCGCCTTGATGGTGGCTGTGCGACGTCCTCGCCGTTCAAAGATGGGGATTTCATGGGAGATGTATGGGGAATACAGTGGGAGATATATATTATATTATATTGTATTGTATTATTATATTTTATTATATTATATTATATCATGTGTATATATATATACACAACTCAGCAAATAACTAAGACTAACGAACGAACTAGCTAACTCACCATCTCACTAACCAACTGTCTAACTATCCAATTTGGGTGTGTCTGAAAAGGGTCGATTTACACCAACAGATCGCCATTTTAATGGGGAACATGATGAGAAGCCCATCTAATTTGGGGGTAACCTATTGACAAAGCCATCTGTCAGTAAGATAGTGTACCCTCTGGTAATTCAACATAGCTATTGAAAATGGCCATAGAAATAGTGGATTTTCCCATTAAAAATGGGTGGATCTTTCCATAGCTATGTTAACATCTACCAGAGGGTAAGATATAACAAGATCTCTCCAAGTTTGCAGGGGACCTCGAATCGGACCCGAGTTGGAACTACACCATGCCTTGAAACACAAAGATCAGGAGTCCGCAAAGGGACGGAAAGGTCGTGAGAAGATTCGAATGGGATCCCCCAATAAATATGTGTCCGACCACTCACCTGCAACCTTTGAAGGGAAACCACAGCCGAGAAGCTGGTGATGTTCAAGACCGCAAGGCCACCAAAACAGCTCCCAGGATGCAAATGGCTCAGGGGCTCCTCAGGGTCCAGTTGCTTCCGGTCAACACGGAAGCTACCCCCAAATGCCAGGGGACTTGCAGGGATTAGTGGGGACATATCATGATATATCTATATATCTATATTAATACACACACATATGTTCAGTGGTCATTTCAGGAACCTAAATTGGAGGTACCTACCATATATATATATAATGCTTATGTAAGGCCTAAATTTCAGGGAATATCCCCACAAAATATGGCCAGAAATCTGGTACTAAGTTAGTACCTCCATAAATTGGATCCTTTGAAAAATTTCCAGTCTGACATCCGCTGAAATTCCCAGATTTGTGGCCGGCGAGTTGGTGCCATGGCTCGGTATTGTAGCCGCGGAAGACACTGCACTTGCCGACACAAAGCCTGGCACTTTTTAGGCGCCGCCACCGGCGCAAGGAAAAGAGCCCTTTTTGAAAAAGGCACCGAAATTGGAGGAATCGCCACATTTGTTTGGTGAATTTAGTGAAAATTGGAAGACTTTCTAGATAGATTTGGGATACATAAATGTTACATAGCCATCTGCAAAGCTGTTCAATCAAACTGCAACCTGACCCACTTGTGGTGGCGATATCAGGCTGCAAAGAATCTGGGTATCTGGACATCACATAACAGGGGTGACGTGTATCCTTCAGTCACATGACGTTGGAAAATATCTATGAAAATCGTATATCTGCCCCCACAATGTTCCGCTGTGCGATGCATTGGCCGCCAAGGTGCACGTACATCTCGTCTCCAGTGTCACCCTCTTGCATCACAATCTCATCCCGACAGTAGACTTTTTGCCTGCAGAGACTACATCTGGAAGGCTGGAGATGGTGGGCAAAAAAGTGCTTCCAAGGTACACCATCAAGCCACCTCAGTGTGTCTGTGGATGGAACATCTCCAAGCATGAACTGATATAAAGAGCTTGGTGACCTGGTTTGTACCTTTTTTGTTTCGTGGAGAATGTGTAAATCAACAACCCCTCCAAGATGTCCCTTCTCCCATCTAATGCTATCTCTGTGCAGCATGGAATGTTTCTTCCTGCATCTGCAGCCAAGCATCGAATAACCCGAGTGAACTCGGCACTACAACTTTCGAACATATTGATTTCACCTCGGCAGAACGGTATCCAGTTTTTCTAGGGAAGCGATATTCCAAAAAAATCTCCAGTCTTTTTCAATTGCCCTGTTTTTGACTCCCTCCCAATTGATATTCATTGCCCCTTTATGGGAGTTTGATCAGTCAGCAACCATCTTGCGAGGTCGAAGAGCCATGAAGCTTGCCATCTGGGTTTCTCAGAAAATTCAGGGGAAATTCACCCTAAATCCAGTGGTCAGTCATCATTTTCTGAAAATTGCCATGGTTTTTTCTTGTTCAAAAAACTCAGCATCCGAGGGACTTCCCAAGGCTTCCCCCAGAAACATGACCTAAACATGGCAAAACTACATTGTCGCGGGACTCACACGATCGGTGAAAGGGTACAACAGCTGCAGGTGCTTCATGGCAACCTTGTCCTTGGCACCCAAGACATGGCGATATATGGCGATCTGCTATGCCCAGCCCAAAAAAACACATCTGCCACTGGTAGTGCAGCCAAATCGCAAAAAAGCTACACCTCACCACGGATGGCCGTGAGAGATCGCAAATGCTCATGCTGGGTGGTTCTTGGATGTTCTTGGTATCAGGAAATCTTATGGTCATGGGATAGGCCTCAAATGATAATTTTAATGGGGAAAGTGATGATGATCAAACTTTGGAGATGCCACATCCTCAGGCAATCCCTAAATGAAAGTCCGTTCTCAACTCAGTCAGCTCGTGTGCTTACCCTGCAAAGAAATCCAAGTTGGTATGATATGTTCCATTTACATCAAACAAAAACAACGCATTTTTTTCGCAACTCACCACGGTTCAACCAGCACCGCCAAGTGGCTCATAAGGGAAGAGCAACCAGAGATCGCGCATGGCTTTGGCAGAGAGCTCCCAAACAACACCTCAGGATGGGCATCAGTGGTCTCCTGTTTGATTTTGCTAAACCCTAGTTTGATAGGGGAGGTACAGGTACCGATTTTAGTAATTTAGAAAACTCGTTTGAGCGTATGCCCCAAAGTAATAGTCAGGGTCTATTAATCTAGGGTTGACATGTCACAGAATCAATGCACATGCTTTTCCGGCTGGTACTATGGGATATGGGTAAAGAATCAGCAAAGTCATGAAGTACACAATCGTTTTGGGCTGGTGTTTCAGTTTCCATGGATATGTGGCTTATGATTTTCAAAAGAAAGTGAGGATGACAGGACCACAAACAGCAATAGGAGAATGGTACATTGGCGGACCTAACCAACATACCAACAATGTGTCTCATGTAACCAACACAAACACGGAAATCAACCAAACAATGGGCCGGCGCAACCTTGCGTTCCTCACAAAAACAAGCTAGGAATCAGCCACCGAACATTGGAACCCCCATGGCATCCCATCAGCTGGCCACGTGACAGTCCGTGTAGGCTTTCACCGAGGCCACACGTTCCAGACAGCTGCCACCAACTTCCAGGGCGCCCCACCAGGATTCCCTCAGCTGTGTACCCTCTGGGGAAGAAAAAAATGGAAACAATGGGCAGATCATTCATCTAAAAAGACATGGAAACGATGGGTAAATCATTAAATGATTCATCTACAGTACTTTCATGCTTAATTTGTCCAAGGCGATCCGTCAAGTTCGTAGAGGGCAGCCATTTTAAGCGGTGCTCATTCCCATGTTTATCCCCTGTCTAACATGAACTAGCATTATACAATTGGGTGAAGTACAAAGTGTAGTCCATCCCAACTAAAAGGTGCATGCCCATTTGATGGTCTCAAGCATGTGGTTTCTAAGGGTGTTTACCCTCTGGTAATTTAACATAATTTAACATAGCTATTGAAAATGGCCCATTTGTAGTTGATTTACCCATTAAAAATGGTGGATCTTTCCATAGCTATGTTAAATTACCAGAGGGTATCCATGGTATATCAATGGTTAATATCCATGGTATATCAATGATAATCATAAATGTTTGATTAACCATTAACCATTGATATACCAATATATCATTGGTTATTATCAATTAGTTTACCAGGGGGTAATATGAAGTTGGGATTGTCCAAGCTTGCCCTTTGAGATGAGCGCGGCAAGTTTGGCCGCCTGGGGTGCATACCATGCATTGCAAGCGGGCAATAATCATATGATATACCCCAGTTATGGAACATGTCCAGGATATTTACATTTATACATCTACATATACATATACATACATATATATATATATATATATCATATATATATACATTTACATATATACACGACATATATCCATATGTGATCGCGTTCTTGCATGGATCATATAATGGTTCGAAATTTTCACCACGACACCAAGTCCCAGCTCCCCATTGGTCCCAGGTCACCATGCTTTGGTCCCAGGCAGTTGCGACATCCGTCCCACTAAGGCCTCGGTATCTCGCAACATCTCGGAACTGGTGAACCTAACCTTTGTACCTTGGTTGCCCTCTGGTAAACTAAGGATAACTATATAACGGATATAAATAATTAACGGATATAACTATATAACTAACGCAACTATATAACTATATAACTAACGCAACTATATAACTATATAACTAACGTAACTATAGGAAAACACAGTTTTAAGGGATATAAATCATCTATACATGGTCCATGTTACTTCCATGGCTATGTTGACCAGAGGGCAATAAGTCCCCGAGTCGTGGGTTATCCCGTCTATAAGTGGCTGAACTATCTATGATACTGAACCACTTACGAAGTGGGGTAAGGATTTCCATTGCCATGAAATTTCTTCCGGAGAGATCTGCCCCACATTTCTGCCGTGCGCCACGGCACATGTTTGCAGTAGATATCTGCTTCACCCGTATAGACAAAGATGCCTTGGCTCTCTTGGCATTGATCAAATCACTTGTGTGCCTTGAAATCTGACTGGTGCTAAGTTACGCAGGGAATTTTCGGGAATGATCCACTGGCTAACTATCAATAATCATCCCATTCCCATCCATTCCCATCCATTCCCATCCATTCCCATCCATGCCCATCCATTCCCATCCATTCCCATCCATTCCCTAGCTACTAAGCACCAGTAAGAAATGCGGCCCTGGAAAAAAACAGAAACAAAAAAAACGCCACGAGCTGCAAGAATCACCCACATCATTTTCTTTGCAGATCAGATCGTCCGCCTGGCGAGGCACAAAAAAAGCTCGCCATTTTGCCGACCGAAAAGTCGAAGTTTTAGCCGAGACGGATAGGGTCAAATCTTCAAAGGCACTGTCAATAACTGGAAATGTTGTACTGGCAGAACTCCTTCCCTATAGCAATCCGTGACTTCCGAACACTCCGAACACTAGCCAGTTATAGACATCCAGAGTTCAAGGCGAAACGTCCATCTGTTGGGCCCATCATCAATCAGGATAAATGCTCTACTGCCACGCAAGACATCTATATAAACGGTTTATCCTCTGGTTTCAAACATGGCTGGAAGCCATCCCCAATTTGTCGATGATTTCCCACGTGCCTTGAAGAATTGGATCTGCACTTGATTTAATAATGCATATTTAAAATCATCATCCAGGTTCACGAACAGCTTCACATAGACTTTGGAGTGATGTTCTTAGAGCCGAGCCCGTGGAGGAACGAGGAGAGCGCAAGGTGGGGTCTGTTGTTTTGCCAGGGAACATGAGGCTGTTGTAATCTCAACTCACTGGTCACACGCCAACCGGCAGGGATGTTAATGGTGTTACAGGTCCCACAGGTCCCAAATTGACAGGTTCACCCTCCAAATTGATGTTTGGTCGTTCTCAGGGCGCTGCTGGTAGATGTCCCGGAGTAAACACACAGTTTGCCAATTATTCATGGTTATCAATTGTAATTGGAATTATAGTACCATATTAAACCCCGGTTGGTCAATTAACAATTATCAATGATTAGTGATTAGTAATCGCTGACCTTATTACCCCTTGGAAAAAGAAACTCATGTTTCGCTGGGTGTGACTTATTTCCTCATCAAAAACGGCTAAAGAAAGACCCAAAAAAAGCCTTCACCTTGCGGTTTCCCCCATTCTCCAACCTCCATCTCTTCCAATTGCCGACAGAATCATCAAATGTTGATATTGGTCCAATATCCCATTGTATCCCTATAAAATACCTATTAAGCCAGCCTTAAATGGAAGTTGGTTTTTTGGCTGCCAAGGATCTCATGAGCCAGGATCTCAAAAACTCTGTGGCCGCATGGTACGCAGTGTGTTTCAACTTGGCACGCTCCGCCCGGTGCCTGCGGTACCCAATCAATCCAGGGAGATGTCTATGTAGATGTGCACCACCGTCGAATTTCCTTTTCGACCAGTAAAACTGCTATGACGGCTATGACGGCTATGAAACTTAAAAAAAGGATGAGAAGTTCAAATCAAATCGCGAAAAGCTCGTGTTTTGCTTCTTGGGACTCTCCCAAACCCCAAACTGCTACGGTGAATCCGGTGAATCGCCCAACCTGACCCTGGCCTGTCGAGCAGGAGGTCCAACATATCGGTACTGATGAAAAAGAAACCATGTTGAGGTTCTTCACCTCAGCAGAGACCTGTAAAAAACCTGTCCTTCTGCTGCGCTGGATAGGAAAAAATGACCCCCAAATTGCCGTCGTGGACAGAAAAACCAGATTCTGGTGAGATGACGGATGAACTTGGCCAAAGGAGTCACATCCATGTGGCAAAAAGGGCTGGGAATGGCTGCAAATCCACCTAGTGTACGTGCTAACCTCACTCATAAAAGATATCCTGTCCATCCTTGCGAATCTGTTCACATTGTGTAGCACGTGCACGAAATATGCGAAAAATAGCAGCAACAGAAGGAGGCCATGTGTTGTATCATGGCTACCATGGCCACCCATATCGTCCCTTGGATCACGGGCCCATCGTGCAACGATTTCATGGATTTCATGGATGGCTGCCCCGACAATTTCCCCGGTGAATTGCCCGGCAAATCCCCTGAAGTTCAGATACCAAACCGGGAAAAAAGAACATGTCAAGTCGGTGACATACATAAATATCCGCTTCAAATGATTCAAATATGACCTCAAGTTGGTGAAACTCTGTGTATATATATATATATGTGCCCAATATCCAATCATGTTTCTCTTGACGCCATAAATTCTATATCCCAAGTCGCGGCAGCGCACGGTGAAGGGACCTTAGACAGGTGCTTGCGAGGGGCCCCACGAATTGAAGGGTGAGCTGGCTGTGGAAATTCTGGTGGATGTGTGCATATGAGATCTCGTATGTATAAACAAATACATATCTCCAACATAGACAGTATGTATGTGAGTATCTATATATATACATGTATGACAAAGTACTCTATACCAGCAACCTGAAAAGTTCGGCCAGACAAATTTTCAGATGGTTACCCTTGCTAAACATGAATTCTGTTGATGCCGAGGTGACATCGCGAAAAAAATTACCCCCGTCGATTCTTTTGTGCAATTGGCTAGGTGAACATAAACCAACTGCTGACCAAATGTGTGTATCGGTGTTTTCAGGAACTGACGTGAAACCTGGCAAGTATCAGTTACACCTTGTCTTAAGAACAGTACACAGCAAGCAACCGCCTTTCGATGTACATGTCCTAGAAAATCTAGAAAGGCATGTAGGATTGTATTTCGCAGGCGTTTGAAAAGGGAAAAAGTTCTAAAAAGTGGAAGGGGACCAAAATGCTGGTTCTGGTGCATCCAACTTATCCTGCTTGCACATTCTGCCCTGGTACTGGCTTCCAAATTAGCACCCCCCCAAGCTATGATCCAAGTTACCTTCCAGTAAATCAACATGGTTATGGACAATCACCATTTTTTTATAGGTAAATCAACTATAAAATGGGCCATGTTCCAGTTCGCAAGCTGTAAACGTTTACCAGACCGCCCTCATCTCGAGCCCAGCTGCTATGAGAAGTAATCTGCAAAGCCACTTCCTGCTTTGCAAAAAGCTCCCGGAAAAGACGATCCTTGGTACATACATACATACATACATACATACATACATACATACATACATATATATATATATAGTGATGTATAATATATGTATATATATAGTTATATATATATGAAATGATGAATAAACAGGTACATGTATCCTGTATCCTTGGTTCAAAAAGGCACCAAGTTGCATCCGTCTTTTGGGATGTCATATTTTCCAGATCTTCGATTCCCCAAAGAGTTTCCCTTCTCAGCCTGGCCAGCCACACCAGGTAGAACCTGCCGTGAAAAACGCCGTGATGTTGGCATATGAAATGGGCACCTTGGGTGGGAAAATCCTTTTACCCTCTGGTAATTTAACATAACTATGGAAAATCGCCATGTTTAATGGGAAAATCCACTATTTCTATGGCCATTTTCAATAGCTATGTAGAAAATTACCAGAGGGTATTGCTCTTTGTTTATCCATGTTTATCCCACCAGTAACAACCAGCCCACTAGATTCACTAGATGCATGTCTCTGCAGGATTCTGCTGTCAATGATTATCTCATGCGCCAATGGCGTACACACTGTAATTAAGATTCTCCATGGCTACAAGGTGGTGCCCCATAGTTAGCTAAGTTGGTGCAAATAACTCCCATAACTATGGTTTATGGTAGATATAACTATAGTTAATGGGGTTTATAAACCAACTTATAACTGGGGGGCACCATCCTGTACGGAATCCCATTTGTTTAACAAAATCGCGAGAACCGACCAGATGCACCTTGTATCAGCTGCGGGATCTGCTTCTTGCTAAAAGCTGTTTGCCAATCCAACTAAACAGTAAAAGTCATACCACCAAATAGCTGTCGATATCAACTACTAGTGCTACTACTGTCCTAATTTTTGTCCACACTGCCAAAGAATACTTGGCATTGTGTGCTTGTACAGCAATGTATCTTTATACTTGGAATATTGCCACAGCAACGGGTCAAAACTCACATCACCGCAGTGCTTTTAAGAGGTCACCCTCCTAGAATGTGGCTGACATCACCCCCTATGGCACTTGTGACCTCAGTGCGACTCACCCTGGCACCTCATCATCATGAGCTACATTGTTGTAGACCGTTTCCTGGGTGAAAATCCCCAACGGATGGAGCTTCATGGAGCTTGATGGCACTGCCACAGTTGTGGGGATCAAAAATGTAGGAGATTTGACTCCCATGACAAAGAAATTGCCTCCCGGGTTTTCTGATTTACGAAAAAAAACATGAAAAAACATGATTATGATTGATTATGTAACATATATATATATATGTACATGAAAAAAAAAAGGGCCGCAATGTGCATCACCTATTTGATGTCTACAATAGGGGTTGTGTCAATACACCAAACCAAATCATGCTTCATCAGTTCATCATCTTCCCCGATCTTTGTACCAAAACTTGGTTGCACGATCCCAGCCGCAAAGACATGGAAGTCGTCGGGGTGGACCAGGAGCAAACCATTGAGGTCTTGTGGGGCCTTCCCTTGCGTCAGCAGAACACGCGCCCTGGGCATGGCGAAATCTTCGCCGCAGAGCTGGGGAACGACCAAAAAACAGCGATGGCGTGGCGTGCCTCGGTCTCATCAGGCTGCTTTCGAACATTTCCCGAGCGTACTCCGTCTTGATTTCATGACCTGCAGAAACCAAAGGGGCTGAGGATTTTTTTTCTATGCAGTATGCCCTCAGTATGCCCTGGTCTTGGTGAAAATCCATGAATTTTTGGCCCATGTTGATCCATTTTTTGGAGATCCATGGATTTATGGCTGGATTTCTTGGACCATGCGCCCCTTTGGGATGAACCCACTGCCCACGACTGGTGCTAAACGTATGGAATGGAAGAATGGGATGATTATTACTAGTGATATCTAGTGATTATGGATCATTCCCTCATTCCCTGCCACCAGTAAGACGATTGGCAATAGGATTTCACTGAAATTCCAAGGCCAGAAGTGATGCCCATCGCTGCAGGGAGGTCTGGTATGAGTTTTTCTGGCTGATCAATCTTTCACGTGTCTTTCCTCCCAGTCATCCAAATACCATTTCAGAAGCTGATTTGGTGTCTGAAGTCCAAGTACCTTCAAAGCAGCTCATCTTAAAACCCAATAATTAAATCGAATACACCATACAATTTGTTCATTTTTGGACGGAAGTCTTGATAAGCATGTTATCCTCTGCTACTTCAATATAGAAATGACCCATTTGTAGGTGGAAATGTGCATAGCATTGCATAGCCATGACTTCCAAAGTCAAGTCATTCCCAAATGTCAAGTAGGTCAAGTACAATTTTTTTTGGGGGGGTTAAATCCACCATGTTTTCCCATCATTTTCCCATCATTTCCTATGGAAAAGCGGTGCTCAGCTTCCAACTGACCATGGGCTTCACCTGGAATGTTCTGAGATTCAGCAGCAGCTCGTTGCGGAACCTTGGACGCCGAGCGGAGCAGCGGAGCGACCACCCGGCCGGGGAAACATCGAAAAAAAACCATGGGAAATCAGCATTTTTCATGGGGAAATCATGGGTAAATCATGGGGAAATCATGGGGAAATCATGGGGAAATCATGGGGAAATCATGGGGAAATCATGGGGAAATCATGGGGAAATCATGGGGAAATCATGGGGAAATCATGGGGAAATCATGGGGAAATCATGGGGAAATCATGGGGAAATCATGGGGAAATCATAGGTAAATCATAGGTAAATCATAGGTAAATCAACAAAAAGAAGCTGCCATGTTCAATAGCCATTTTTTGAGAATTACCAGAGGGTATCATGCCAGGATATGCCAGGTTTTGCTTTCATAGCTATCACCAATAGTGATTATTGGGTTTACCAGGTTATATTCCCGCATTTTGGGTGCAAAATCCCTAGCTTTCCCGGTCAAAAAAGGGCAAATTAAGAGGGCAATATCAACTAATTATAAGATCAACATACATAATTATATAAATATATATGGTGGTTGATCAAAATTCCTTTATCCGGGAACGGCCATTCTTCGCGAATAAAAATGTTACTTTCGCGAAACTCCTTACCAGGACCTTTAGATCGATCACCATATATATATATATATACCATCTGGTTATTTAACATAGCCATGGAAAAAATGGCACATTAAAATAGATGGTTTACCGTTCTTAAAACCTCCATTTATAGATGGGATTTTCCATGGCGAACTGTTAGTCATAACCAGAGGGTAAATGGACAAAATATATCCCCAATAGATATAATCTTAGCATCCTGATCATCTCCATGCCTTTGGAGCTTTTGAGACCAACTTCTTAGATGGTAAATCCTTCATTTATTAATGTCAAATCCATGTATATGCCACATATTCATATATATTCCATGAAATCTCAAGGCTAAATCTCCATTGAGTCGTTTAACTGTTTCTTACAGACGATCCTGGCCAACATTTCCAGGTTTTTCTTTACATCCCCTTTTTTGTCCCACAGACTCATCGGATCCCATGGTTAAGGCGGTCACCAAAGCAACATCTTTAGTTTTTAGTACCAAAAAGTTAAACGGCTGACATGGGTTTATCTCATCACGTTCCCGTTTCAAAGTTTGCCATGTTTTTTTCTACTCCCCATGTCTAGACGAACAAAAACATCGGCGTAGATAAATCACCTATATCCCATGGATAAATCATCACCAAATTCCAGTTCCAGTGGATAAAATCATCATAATCTACCAAGCTTTTTCAGGGGTAGTTACCCATTGAAAAGATACTGAAAAGTCCCTGTGAAACTGCTGATGTTTCCTCCATCATTTCCAGCCATAACTGTTCTATCTATGGCCGGGGGTTGTAAAAAAAAAAAACTAACCCATCTTCAGTGACATCGGCCACCCTATTCACCATCAATTCCATCTCATTATCCTCAATATAACCGACAGATACCACCAGTATGCTTTATGTTATAGTTACCCTCTGGTAATTTAACGTAGCTATTGAAAATGACCATTTATAGTGGAAGTTCCCATTAAAAATGGTGATTTTCCATAGCTATGTTAAATTACCAGAGGGTATAGCCAATGATTGTCCTATTCTAGACTTCCTCTAAGATCATCATTGTTTTTTCCCAAGATTGTTCACATCAACCTGAAATGAAGTGATACCCTCTGGTAAACGTTTACAAGTTTCCACTTTGCGAACTGGAAAATCACCATCTTGAATAGGTCAATCAACTATAATTGGTGCCATGTTCCAGTTCACTGTAACAAATTACCAGAGGGTAACTACAAAAAAAAACTATTGCAGTAATATTAACCATAGATTATCCATTAACCATAGATTAACCATACATTACCAGAGGCTCCAGAGGCACCAAGTCGCTCCTCACTGGTTCCTTCGAACAAGGGATGCTCCGCGACGATCGCTTCCCGTGGGTCTTCCTCTTCGGACTCCTCCTCCTGGCGTGCGAAGTGCACATTTTTGGGGGGCGAAAATCCACCAGTTTTACCATTGACGAACTGGATGGTCATTGACTAATGGTACTAATGGTCCATGAAAATTCACCTCTTGTTGCTTATTGACCATGATTACCCGGCCTGGTAAACATAGAAAAAGCTATTGAACATGGTGATTTAGTTCGTGGATTTACCCGGCTTTAAAATGGTGGATCTTTCCAGTTCGTTATGCAAACGTTTACCATTGACTAACTGGATGGGACTGGATGGGACTGGATGGGACATGGGACTGGATGGGAGAGGAAGTTGACCAATAAAAAACTTGCTTCCAAGATTCGATTCTCGATTCGAATGTGTAACCAAGCACAGGAGGTATGAAACGTTGACTTGAATCAACAGAAAAATAGAGAAATATTGTGTGATACAACCAAAAAAAATAAATCAAAAAAAAAAACAGGATTTAAACCATAGGAGAAAGTGGAGGTTTCCCTCCTTGAACTCATACGATCAACAAGAATGAGGTTCGCATCACCAGCAATGGAGATACAGTCGCAGTCCATATGGTGATGGGTCACCTACCCTCTGGTAAACTAACATAGCTATGGAAAATCACCATTTTCAATGGGAAAATCCACTATAAATCACCATTTTCAATAGCTATTTTGACATAACCAGAGGGTATATCACATGGAAATGGTGGAGAACTGGAGGATCCCTATGGATCTCCCACCGATCAAAACAGTTGTTGGCCAGGTGGCCGTGTTCCGTTTGAAACGGCCCTCTGATCGCTGCCATTTTTAGGTGCCATGGATTCACTCAAAAACCAGGGTCTCTGGCTGGATGCCATTCCAAATTAACCATGATTAATATGGATAATCTATGGTTGATATATGGATAATCTATGGTTAAACTATGGATAATCTATGGTTTATCTGTGGTTAATCATGGTTAACATCCATCGTTCCATTGTGGATGCTCCTTTTTTGGACATCATGTGCTACACCATCCCCACTGGGGTTCATCTATGCTTGTTGCTGATATACCCTCTATCGACCGTGATTTTTGTTGAGCAACAATAACCATAGGTCAATCATGGTCACAGGTGTCACCTGTTATTGTTGGTTATTGACCATGATTAACCATTACCCTCTGGTAAACGTTTACATAACTATGGAAAGATACACCATTTTATAGCTGGGTAAATCAACTACAAATGGCAATTTTCGCTATTTAGTTCGTTGATTGACCCAGCTATAAACATGGTGGTGGATCTTTCCATGGCAAACTGTTAGTTTACCACCATTTATAGATGGTTTACCTATTAAAAATGGTGGATTTTTCCATCGTTTTTTCTATGTTTTACCAGACTCTGGTCCTATGAAAACCACCCGCAACCGCGCTCCGCCATGGACGTCAGCGGCACGGATTCCGTCTTGGCGTGGCCCATGGCGGGGCCGTCCTAAGGCGCCGCCAAGGCGAAACGGAGTTTGCCAAGGTCACCAGGGGGAGTTCATGGGACTATGACTGTTAAGAATGATTAATTATTATTAATTATGGTAATATATGATAATAATGATTATATACTATTAGTAAGTTAATTATATTAATTATGACCATATTTTATGGTTAATGATGGTTAATGATGGTTAATGATGGTTAATCTCATTATTAACCATCATTACTCCATGATTGTTTTTATATGGTTAATTATGGTTAATAATAATCTGGTTGGTGGTTGACCTACGGTTGACCTACCCCTCTGAAAAATCATGGAGTTAAAGTCAGTTGGGATGATGACATTCCCAACTGAATGGACAAATAAAAATGTTCCAAACCACCAATCAGCTAAATATCCAACTTGGGAATCATCTGAAAAATGGGGTGTACCCTCAATGTATGGCAGTTTTGTGAACATGATGATTCATCAGTGGACTTGGGGTTACCATTATTTTCAGACAAACCCATTTATTTGAAGTAGGCACGATGTTGGACTCAAAATTTTACCCCTGTGGATATCCTGGGAATATACTGATGATTTACTAACTTAAAATGTGGCTGATTCATTTGGTGCGGCCAAGATTGTATCTGTTTTACCACCGAAAAGTACGGATTTAAACCTGAACAATTACGGGGAACATTTCATCAACAAACACGGGAATGAAACCAACCATTTCAATTGGAGATCTCTCTAACTAACACTTTCACCCTGAATATAGCTAACCCCCAACTTATGGCCAGGTCAATTTATCAGTTGTGAGGATGATAATCCTATGTTGAGGTAAATGAAGAAAATGGAATGTGTGACATGGCATGTCTCGAACTCCAGGATAGGCCATGCGAATACCCAAAGATCCCGATTCTGTAAAGGGTAAGAGACCGTAGCAGGAGACCAGTGGGTGTGTTATGGAAATAACCCCCATATTGTAATATGACGTGTACCCTCTGGTTATTTGACATAGCCATGGGAAATGGCCCATTGAAAGATGGTTTACCTATTAAAAATGGTGATTTTCCATGGCTATGTTAAATAACCAGATGGTAATTTGAATTGTGTTGAAGGGGGTTATTCTTAGCCTTACCATATGAATATTAGTTTGCATGGGCATCCCATGCTCAACCAACACATGGAACTAGGGGCCGGACCCACTACCCGCCAAATATTCTCCGAAATTTGTTTCTTCGCCAGTGTCCGTTTAAGGGAAAAGCTACAGGAAACCGCTGTTTTTCCAACCAAATATGGGGAGGTCCTGTAAATTTTCCCTGAAACCAATCCAATGAGAGTTCCATGGCTTCTCAAGTCTACTGATCTGTTGTTAGTTGTCATTGTTTTGACAGATCTGTTGCTATGCTGAACGCTATTTAGTCCAAGTACCCACGACAGGGTGCTTTCTGTATGATTCCTCTATATATATATACATATATGTATATTATACATATCCTACTCCTCCTCTTCATCATCATCATCAGCAGCAGCATCATCAGCAGCAGCATCATCGTCCTCGTCGTCGTCCTCGTCATCGTCATCCTCATCATCATCATCATCATCATCCTCCTCCTCGTCGTCGTGGTCGTCGTCGTCCTCCTCGTCGTCATCGTCATCGTCATCGTCATCGCCATCGCCATCGTCGTCATCATCACCACCATCATCATCATCATCATCATCCTCATCCTCATCGTCGTCGTCGTCGTCATCATCATCATCATCATCATCATCATCCTCATCGTCGTGGTCGTCGTCGTCCTCCTCGTCGTCATCGTCATCGTCATCGTCATCGCCATCGCCATCGTCGTCATCATCACCACCATCATCATCATCATCATCATCCTCATCCTCATCGTCGTCGTCGTCGTCATCATCATCATTATCATCATCATCATCATCCTCATCGTCGTGGTCGTCGTCGTCCTCCTCGTCGTCGTCGTCGTCGTCATCATCATCATCATCACCACATTTGTTGGGATATAAATAAAGACCGATCTAAAACCACGATCACAGTTTTATTCTGCAGGTAGGGTTTCTTCACCATCCCTAAATCTCCACATGTTGTTGGGTCTAATATACCCCTTTAGTGATGTTTAAATCCCTGTTTATCGATGGGTTACAGCCACCCCCATGTTTTGCCAATCTGTCGCCTAAAGGCCCACCTCTTGATGGTTAAACCCCACATTATTGATACTAAAGTCACCATGCATCCCATATATAGCCCATATTTCTGTTGTTTGCAGCAAATATCAACTGTTTTTTCCCCATTCATGATGGTCAAATCCACACTGATGCACATAATTACTGAAAAAAACACACATTCATGGAGAGTCCCATGGTCAAAATTGATTGGAAACATATTGATGGTGAATATTGATGCAAAAATCCGATGATTGAATATTGATTATCATATTGAATAAATACGAAGATCTAGGATTGATTCTCCAATAGAATATTATTCAATAGTCATCCTACCTGACAGATATTGAGCTCTCAATCCATCGTTTTTTTCGATTGCCCAGCGAACTAAACCTCCATTTACTTCGAGAATTTCCCACGGCCAAATCCTGGATGCTTGGTCCCCCATAGATCGCGATAGATCCAGGGGTTCTCACCCGCCGAAACCCACCGCGCCTGGGACATTCCGCTGCTGCTCCGCGCGAAGACGGCACGCCGCTGCCGCCCTGACCTGGTACCCAGCAATTGTGAGAAACAGCAAAACATCGGCTGAAGGTACATCGAAGGAAGGGTAAGACCTAACCCTACATACTGTGGATGGTTGCGAAATCCTGCACCACCAAAAGGATGGTTGAAACCTTATAAATAGTGGGATGTTTACCATCTATCAACTGGTGCAGGATTTCACAACCATCCACATATGTCATTTTAACATATTTTAACTACTGAAAGCATCAATCGGTCGACAAAGATGGGGATCACTACCAACTACAGGATCGAAAGAGGAGTGAGACTTATCCAGACAGATACACCAAGAATGCAGACAGATACATCAACAAATGCAAGAATAGAGATTGACCCATCCGTCAAAGTAGCACTACGAACAAGAATGAGAATACATCCAACAAACACAAAAAAGACAATGCAGCATCAAAAAGTGGGAGAAACATACCAAACCATTTGCCCTGCTATTCGGAATGTTCATCCAAAATTGGCTGGCTATTGCGGTGGGCTCCAGTCTACAAATGATCCAAAAGAGGTTCACATCCCAACTTTTATGCTCTGGGTTTGACTACCCAAAAAAATTGACGATCAATCATCTTTTTCCGTATCAAATGACCATTTGAGGGGTAGACCCCATTTGGTGATTGAGAGCGAAATCAAAGTGTTTGAAGGCTGGAGATTAACCACAAGACCACAAGAAGCTGTCGAGTCAATCTACGATCGAGATTCAGCAGGAGAGACCTCAACTTACAGCCTGTCCCATGTTCAAATGGAGCAATAGCAAAGAGGCCAAACCAAGCCTTAGAAGTGACATGCGTTCGTTTGAAAAACATTAAGGTTTATCGTATCGTACCATCTTCTGCATCAAAATTGGCCATACATTCCGGGTAACCCGCCCAGTCTCACCACACCCACAGCACATTGGCGCCCACATCCCAAGAAAGAGCGCCTGTCGCCATTTTTTTCGATTCCTGGCAACCTGATGGGAAACTGGACATCCTGTTGAGAAAGCAACGGTTCCATGTGTGGTGTCCCAACGGTTCCAAAGGGAAATCATATGGTAAAATTATGAGTGGTGCCTCCTTTTTGTAAAAAAACGTCGTTTCCCACTCCTTAGGTCAGTAGAATGTTGGCACATCTCAGGTTCAGGTCAAGCACCCAAGGGAGCACTCCATCCATTCCCATCAACTCCATCCCAGGAGCTTGTCGTGCGGGGCCTCGGAAGCACGAGAATGTGGGACCGTGGGAGGTCAGCCACTGCAGGGACGTGCCACTTGCAACACTTTGTCAAAACTATGCAAAAAATAAATAAAAAAATAAACATAATGAATGTGCTCTCTTCTCAGAGAAAAGGACGCGATGCACTTGAAGCAACTCAAAACACTCAAAGATCCTACAGCACAGACTGCTACTCTTCAAGCTTCTGCAGGAAAGCAACCGTGGTCATGGAACGGCGAAATGATTTGCTCATCGTTGGCAGATATGGCGCCGGTGCGTTTCACCAGGTGCTGGAAGATGCTGGAATTCAGTGGGCTGAGGGGTTGGGGGGGGGGCAAAGCTGCTTGCGTTTCCCCATCAAAGGCGGAAATTGGATGCATCTAAGATTTCAATGTGATTTTCTCGAGCAGATCTAGCATGATCTAGCTATATAATCGACTTGACAATCTCATGCGCTGGTTGGGAGAACTTCTGGTCATTTGAGCCAGCTTGAAGGGCAAAAAGGTGCCTGAATGGAATTTGCTTTCTCAAAGCTGGACCTAAGCTACGCTGGCAGCGGCAGCGGGGATAGCGGCATTTTGATGTATGCACGATGTCCTCAGGATGCCTAAACAACTCCAGAAGTACTTCAGAATTTTCAAAAAGAAACCACAGAATCTGGGAAAAAAGTGCCTGAAACTCCCAGAAAATGAACTCCGGAAACCTGGATTTTTTGGTTGAGACCCCAAGCATATGCTGTGGAAACATCCTGGAAACTCCAACATTCTGGGCCTTCAGATCGGCCTGAAACTGTTGAAACTTCTCGGGGAAGAGACGATCCTAACAGATTGGGCAGGTTGGGGAAAAGGGCTGTGGGAGGTTGAGGAGGGAGGAAGATTTCTTAGCAAGGAAAGCGTGGATTTGACTTATATAAGTTAACAAGTATATTCCAGCAATTCAAGATGGTTTGACATGGCCTAACCAAGAAATTGTGGTCGAACTCCCGTTCCGAAACCAAAAAAAAACTCCGACTGGCGCGGTCAGCGGTCACAAGGCCTCTGTGTGTCTTTGCCCAGTGATGCGGGTGACAATCTGCTTCGAGTCTCCAGACCATCCCATGAGAATCGCCAGTGCGTCCTGTGGAAAGGGAAAGCCATGGCTTTTCCCGTTGGGAAAATGTTCGGAAATGGAGCGGAACTTTCAGGCTTTCAGTGAGTTTGATCAAAAGTCAAAAAAATATGAAACCGCCAAACCAGCTTTAATTTGGGTAGAAAATCCTGATGACTGTCTGGTCAAAGCTTAAGCCAAAAACCGGGGTTCTTTGAGACTTCGCACCAACGTGGATGTGCATCCCGGTGCCCGTGCTTCATTTGATAGCGCAATTGCATTTAAGTTGAAACAACATAGTACAACATCCATAAATATACATAGAATGCGTTGGTACCATGAAATACCCCAGTTATATCCGGTTATATGAGGCTTCTTCACCACTTACGAACTGGCACATCCAAGAATGGAACAGGTCCAACCTGCTACGCCGAGCGGCCAAGACATTCTTTGCTGGCGCCGGAGGGTCAAAGTACTCGGAGATCCAAAAGTTAAACCTCGGCACAACAGTTCGCAGCATGGGCCGTGCCGGAATGAGGCAGATGATGGGGCAGGGAGAACCCGGAAGCGGACTCATGTCTTGTTCATTGTCATAATGAACATGATTGTTTTTACTGTGACTACCTTTATTTTTGTCAATGATTGTTATTCATCATTTACTATCCCTGTAATTATGTTGACGGCAGTGATAATGATGCTGATAATGATACTGATAATGATGCTGATAATGATGCTGATGCTGATACTGATACTGATGCCGTTCGTGATGCTAATGCTGGTGCGTGCTAGTGGTGATGATGATCCATTAAATTTTCTTCTGGACCCCGGTCGAATGTCAGCCTTCCTTTTTCTGCGGCTGCGGGACTCATCAAAGTTCATCAGCTCGCGATAGTGAGCCTCCAGCAGGCCAAGTTGGCGGGTTCAACCAACCACCCTTGGATGGGCTGAGTTTGGGAATACCAAATGAGAGGACAGAAACGCTTTCTCAGCAATCCTCTTCGATGTCTGCAAGGTCCATAAGGTCCCATCAAATACCATTCTACGATATTCTATGCACATTGCAACACTCAGTTGGCGCATATCTTTGCCGGGGAAACCCCAAGACTTGACATGCGTGTGTCTGAAAAACGGATCTACCCCCATGTTCACTGCTATTCTGAGAGGAAATGCGGTGATTAACCTTCGTGGATTTAGGATTTTTCCCGCCCATCACTTCTTCCCGCCTCAGCCTCAGCACCTGGGTGATTGGGCCGAGCAGTGTCCCATTTAGCCAATGTTACCATTTGGGTACCAAGAATAAGAAACCATCGGCATATAATATATATATATATATCAACCAGGACCACAACCAAGAAACAGCATACACAAGAAGCAGGTCTATGATTGGGTTGACCACATCACCAGATCTATTTCGCAGAGCGGGACTCCTGGGGGAGTGACTTCAACAACACTGCAAATACCCTCTGGCTATTTAACATAGCCATGGAAAATGGCCCATTTATAGATGGTTTACCTATTAAAAATGGTGATGTTCCACGGCTATGTTAAATAACCAGATGGTATATACCCATGTTTTATGCACTTGGTGGACACTGAAAGCTAGAGGAAACGCACATTTTGAGCCTTGGTCTTTTCGTGCCACTCGCCCTGTTCTCTGGGTTCCCATGGTCACCTTTCCCTTTTCTACAGCTTCACACCCAAGGCAGGGCACCTTCCCAACGAAGGTTCTCCTCCATGGCTAAGAAATCCACCGCCATGGCTCGCAACCACACGGATGTCGTTGAAAGTTGGAGGACTAGCCATCTGGGTTACTACCATCACCATCCGAATCCCGCACCCCTGGGATGAAGATGAAAAAATGCGGCTGATCTTAAGTGGTTTCAGAAACTAGAAATCATTCATTCCTAATCTTCAAAACCCCAAAAAACCAAGCCCTGGTTGAATGTCTTGGATCCCTTCAGGGTCTATCTTGGGGCTGGGGATTGACAACTCCAATGACTCCATCAACTCGAATCTTTTCGCCCAGTAGTTTCCTAATCTCATCATTTTTTCGACGGAGAATTTCTAACCAAAATCAGGTTCCCAGAGCGAATTTCTAATCGTCTTCAGTGATGAATTCCACGTCCGTTGGTCAACAGGTCTTTTTTGTTGATTCCACAGATTTTCGATGACCAAACACTCATTTGCTGTGGCTTAAACTCCCATGTTTGTTGGTGCCAGTGAAAGTGAAAGTGAAATCACCATTTTTGGTGGCTAGATCGCAATTTTTTGATGGTTAAATTCCAATTTTCGTTGGTCAATCCTAATTTCTGTTGGTTAAATCCCAATGTTCGTTGGATCCATTCCTATGTGTTAAATTCTCATCTCCATCCTCACGTCCAGCGGTTCAAACCCACCCAGTGTCGAGTTTCGACATGCCAGCCACACCCAATGCTCTGTCCCCGCCACGTGCAGAAAGGCGCCGTTGCGACCAACCACAGGGCGAACCTGCAGCCATTTTGGTTTGTTGAAAGTCCATGGGAACATCATGGTCGGGTTTTAAAAAAAAATGTTTGATGAAACCACCAACCAGTGGTGGTCTTTACAAAAATCCCAAAGATACCATTGCTCACTTTCTGCAGCAGCTGGAGCCCGCGCCTTCTCGTCGGCCGTGAAGCAGTCCCCCAGCTTCATCACGCCGTTGGAGCCCTGCGCTGCGCTGTGCTGATGAACATCGTTGTCTGACTCAAGATGAAAGAATTTCTGCAACCAAAACATCAATTCTTAAAACAAGCCTCGTATGTTGGGGCATTTCCTCTTTGGCTGGTATGTGTCCATATTCATTGCCTGCACAATCACAGTCGGTGAAAAATCCGAGTTTGGTTGCCTAACATTTCAAGTTGGTTTGGTAAATCCTGGTCGAAATCTCAGTTTCACCACCAAAACTTCTCAATTTCGGTCCTGAATTTTCCAGTGTTTCTTGGTTCAACGCCCAAAATCCCATGTGTTGGACAAAAAAAGGCGGCGTTTTCCCTCGCCTTCGCACCAGGCGTGGCTAGGAGCTTTACCTCTGAAGCACAGACCTCAACAAAAATGGAGATTGTCCAGTGGAATTTGTGACCCCTAGGTGAAAACAGATGTAGGTTGATTTCAAACATGTTTTTTTGCTTGAATCTCAAAGTAAGTGGCTGAAACCATGTGTTTGGGACGTTCCAATTGTGACAATTGGTGTTCCTTCGCAGTTTATTTACAAGAGCGTGGTAATTTATTGGTGTTTGACCGACAAACACGTCGATTCAAGCAACAAATTGAGGTGAGTGTAGGAGCTGTGGGCGTGGAGGCAACATTGCGCCAATGGTATGTGTGACCTTGCCGCTTCTCACTCTTATGTTTGCTGTTGTTAGTGTAATTGTTGGTCATAGTTCATCATATCATATAATATCATATCATACAATATCATATCATATAATATCATATCATATAATATCATATCATATTCTCATATCATATCATCATATCATATTATCATATCATGTCATCATATCATATTATCATATCATATCATATTGTCATGTCATATCATCATATCATATTATCATATCATATATTGTCATATTATAATATCATATGATCATACAATATTTAAATATCATATTAGCATATCATATCATCATGTGATATCATATCATATCATCATCATAGCATCATCATATCATAGCATATCATATATCATATCATATCATAGCATATCATAGCATATCATATATCATATATCATATATCATATATCATATCATTTCATATCATATCATATCATCATCATAGCATCATCATATCATCAGCATATCATCATCATATCATTTCATTTCATATCATATCATATCATTATCACATCACTATCATTATCATTATCATTGTATATCATATCATATCACATCATATATCATATATCATATATCATATATCATATATCATATCATTTCTTATCATATCATATCATCATCATAGCATCATCATATCATCAGCATATCGTCATATCATTTCATATCATATCATATCATTATCACATCATTATCATTATCATTGTATATCATGTCATATCACATCATATATCATATATCATATATCATATATCATATATCATATATCATATATCATATATCATATATCATATATCATATATCATATCACATCATCATCATCATCATCATCATCACCATCGCCTTTCCTCATGATCCAGAGCTCCAAGCTCCGTGCCTCAAAGTCCCAGGATCCTTTCAGCAGCTCCACTTCAACCATGCGCACCTCGCGCCACGGGAAATGCCGTGGACTCCACCATCACCGGTGTCATCAAACATGGCGGGCCGCTAAAAACATCCCCGGCTGGTAAATGGAGAGGTCCAGCCATGTTTGATGACATCAGAGGGTATATATACATAGCTGGTTGGTGGTTTCAAATGGTTGACCTACCCCTCTGAAAAATACGAGTTAGTCAGTTGGGGTTACTATCCACATAGAGATTAGGATTCAATCCTGACCCCGGCGACAGACAGATCTAGCTCGTTTAGGGCACCGATTTCTGTGATTCATCCTGAGTTGCTTGAGTAAACTGAGTAAACCAGTCATGTGCAGATCAAGGACAGGTCTCCTACCCAATTCGCACCCCATCCGTGCACCTTCCTATCTTTGGGTGAGATGTCGAAGAGCCACTCCCCCTGGCCAGATGGTTTCAATGGTTTCAATGGTTTCAAGGCGAACAGCATCTTAAAGGTAGAACCAACAGCCCAGTTGAGCAGTGTCAAAAAGCTCTTGAAAAGTCACAAAAAAAAAACTTTGGTGAAAGGGCATTCCCATAATGGACTATGATCATCCCCAATTGCATTTTGTTTAACCCGCTAATCATCAACCATCATTTATCAATTATACCATATTATACCCACAGTTTTGCTGCTTAAAACAAGGATACGTTGTTAAGCCCCTGAAGAAATTGAACCAATGGGGGTTTTGCTGCGCTGCTTGGCGTCTGCTTGGCGTTGCCATGTTGCCATGATCCCTGCGGTGCTGCGGTGCTGGGCCACACCTCACAGACTCGCAGCCATTTGGTCCAGCCACACCTTCGGAAAACAAAAAGGGCGACTCTAAGTCTCAGGCGAAATCTCGGGAAAAATATGCTATTTACATGTGTATATATATATATATATATATATTAAGCATGCACATACATTATACACAACATACATAGTTGAAATCCCTTTGTAGACACCCAACAGCGACGCTAATGCTTCTCATCTAGAAATACCTCGATTTCTCAACTCTCAACCCGAGAAAAGTCACATTCGGGCAACTCCTGTTGAAGCATCCTTCAAGGACTTGCCTCATCTCGAATTGGAGCTTTGTAATAGGTTGCGTTTGTATTACTTGGTTTGGTAAGTTTACTCATCGAATGATAATGCCAAAGCATTCCTTTTACTGATCCCTTGATATCCCTTGATATCCCTTGATTCATTTATGTTAGCTGTTAGCTGGTTTATCGAATTCTGAATATTCACCCAATCAGGGAGATCCCAGATCTATTTTTGTTGGCGCGCCTCCTTCGCTCACAGATCTCCACCACCGAGCCCATCGGACGTTTCGACTTGGTCGGGTCCTTGCTACCTGAGGTTGATTAATTCAGCCACTGCAGATTGAGTTTGACTCAAAGTTAAACGAGTTTACTACAAAAAGATTGGATGTCGCAGGCAATTTATATGGAAAAACTGGATCAGAATCGGGATACCTGATACCTGAAATTGGCTGGTTTGAAATTAGAATTACTAAAATCTATAACCGTTTAACCGTTTAACCCAGGGTGTGTTCATACGATATGATGGGTGCTTCCTTTTTGTTTGAAATCAATCACCCAAACCTCCCGACTTGTGGTCATAGAACAAAGAGGCTGCTATTTTTTGCAGATCTTAGCAACCGAGACAAAAGCAGTGTTTCAGCACGTTTCAGCAGGGGAATTCCATCCACCAACAATGAGATACCCTCTGGTAAACTAACATAACTATGGAAAGATCCACCATTTTTGATGGGAAAATCCACTATTTCTATGGCCATTTTCAATAGCTATTTTGACATAACCAGAGGGTACTCACAATTAATGGATGCTTCAAGACCCAACGATCCTGCTAAACCCGGATGGAATCCCTGGGAGAGATGAGTCAAAAAAAGATGGGTCAAATCCCCCAAGAATTGGGGGGTTGTAAACATGTCATGGAAAATATCTATACTTTGCATAATAATTTGGGTGGTTATAATTTTGGGGGGTTGTAATTACATTATTATGAGTCTTAATTACAAAGGTATCTATACTTTGCATAATAATTAAGACTTTGCCAGGGAAATAAAACATGTCATGCACAATTTCTCATCAGTGACACAGCTTAGCCACTACTGCGTCACATACCAAAAGACTACGCATTATGATAGATATGTTTTTAATATTTACCCTTTGATAACTTAACAATATCCACTAAAAATGGCTCAGAAAACAGTGGACTTTGTTATTAAAAAAATAGGTGATCTTTCACAGCTCTGTGAGTTTACCAGGCCGGGTATGTCCCATGAAAAAATCCCCATGTTTGCCGCTTCAATCTCTATCAATCACCATCATTATAAATATGGATACTATACGGTATACATATGATATCTTATTTATATATATATATTACAGTATACATAATATAGTATCCATATTTTATGATGTTTATATACAGTATACATATGGCTAAAATATG